GTTCAAGGACACAACGACCACAGAATCGTCAATTGTGTTGCCAGCACTAGCTGTCAAATCATCCCATCGTTAAGAAAATTCTTCTATATGTTACATTTATTTTAAGTCAGCCTGCATTAACACATTAAGATACTTGAAGGGCAACACTAGTCAAAAGGATTTTTAATTTATCATAAATGTTTATATTTTAAGTAAACTAATTTATACTCCTTCGAGATTGACTAGCTTTTCGGAGCACGTCATCTTGTGTGGTTTAGTGAATGTGGGGGTGGCGGTGGTTCCTCCCTCTCTGGCAGGCGAGACCCTTCGCGGAACTACTCCACGGCGAAAGATTTCCCCCCAACGCCACCGCCCCAGTTGGGACAAGCTCTAAGCCTGGACTCCCGAAATGTGTATTGCATGCTAGTGTGTGTGTGTGTGAAAGTAAACGGTGAGGATAGAACAAGGAAGGGGAAAGGAAAATCTCGCGCGATCCGTGGCTCGTTTGTAAAGGGTGCTACTCCAGCATTCTCCTGGTAATGATCAGAGAAAGTGTGGAAAACTATGCATCTGATTAACCGGCCAATAAAATTCTCCTCCTGACAGCAATTGAATTCGACCCCGCTATGTAGCTAGGTGCAAAAATCCACCGCAGGAGGTCAATGACCTCCCGTGAAGAGTCGGCGCAGAGCCAAAAGCAATGATGAGTCTAAGCTAAATTAATTCGTAACTCTCCCAAGATCATTGCATGAAGTAGACATGTGTAGTCAGAGATACTGACTAAAGCCTGGCTGAGTTATTGAGTTTTGCGAAACATTTCCTGTGTCTGGTGTCCTGCCACCGCAGGCTGCCGCGATGCCCCCGCCTTGGACGCCGCCCCGTGGCTGGACGACGAGCCGGACGAAGTGCTGCTGCTGCAGCTGAAGAGCGTGCTGCGGAGCCTGGAGGTGCACATGGCGACGTCGTCGTCGGTGGTGGTGTCGGGGGCGGGGGCCGCGAGCGAGGATCACACCACGTCCTGCAGCCTCTCCGCCTCGCCCAAGGCCTCGTCCACGATGCTCGTCTCGTCCATCTCGTCTACGTCCACCCGCAGCACGGCCTCCGACCCACGCCGCCGCTCCGTCGCCGCCCCGAGCGCCATGCGCTGGAGGACGCGGTCGCCCCCGCCCCCGCCCGCACACGGCGCCAAGCGTAAGGTGCGCTTCTGCGCCACCCGCTTGCACCTGTGGTCGGCTGCGGAGGATGACCATATTAGCACTTGCATCCTTCTCACACTTCAGTCACCACTTCAAAATTAGTGCAATTTCAACGCCACTCTCTTTCTCGTATTTTTGAAAGCAATGACTGCGGCTTGTTACTACAATACTGCAATTTATTTACTACTAATCCTTCAGTTACCACTAGAAATCAAAGGTGGTTCAACAGCCACACTTTCTATTATTGTTGAGAACGTTTTCGTAGTATTATAATATTGCAACATCTATCCCATTAACATTTTAATTACTTGTGCTTCAGAAGTATATACTTTTTCAGATAGTTGGGAAAGTGTTAAATAAAACAGGAACTCATGGACCTACACACCCTGTGTATTGATGTGTGTGCGGGCTCCATCCGTACAGCCCAATCTTCAGGACAAGAATGAACGAATGCGCATCGTGCGTACACTTAAATATATATATATATATATATATATATATATATATATATATATATATATATACAGTCACTAGTTACACAGAATCCTATATATTAATTAGATCGCTGGCGAGGTAGATACCTTCTATTATTAATGTTATTATGTAAATTAATGTTATATGGAAGGAATTACAGATGTACTCAAAGTAGATTCGAATAATAATGTAGCAGGCATTTTTACTAAATCGTTAAGAGAAGTTAATTTCGTGAAAATTCGAAAAATGTTAAAATGTAACCGGATAAGTGAAGTTATATTTTTGAGCTAAATATTCAATATTAGCTTCTTGTTTGAGATTCATTACATTTTTTCCATAATCATAATTAATAGTAATCCCAAGATAATTCTTGACTTCACCTAAATCTTTCATTTTAAACCGTTTTTACTAAAGTTAAGACTTTTGATTGTCTTAATTTTAGTTCTGTTTTTGCTAGAAACTAACAAATCGTCGACAAACATAATCAAATAAATAATAACGTCGGCATATCTCTTAACATACAATCATCATAATTACTTCTTTGAAAGCCTATCTTATCCAAAAAAATATCATAACAATCATACCACGCACGTGGACTTTCTCTCAAACCGTACAACGCTTTATCTAATTTACAACCTTTATCCGTGCCGTCTTCGTAACCTTTCGCTTGTTATACATAGATTTCTGATGAAACCTTACCATTAATAAAGGCTGTTTCTACACCCATTTGTTCGATAATTCAGCCCTTTTGACAACAATTAGAACAAGACAACAACTAGATTTTTTCTAGAAACATTACTTTTGGTTATTATCTGATTCTTGCACTCAGTTCTTTAAATGTTAGGGCCAATGTAATAAGTCTGGCGGGTGGTACATAGGAGGTAAGTCATCTTACTCAGAACAAATCTTAGTAATTGGCACTGGAATGCTTCTTTTCGATGAGGACACTTGGGCGATCTCTATAGTTTCTTATCTGTACACTTGTTATTTATAATTTACTGTTGTAGTAAATTAAGATAATCTTAATTTTTCTAAAAAGAGAAACTTTGTTTCATGATATTGCAGTTCCCGTAACACACATTCTAACTAGTGATGCTACAGATTGGCGTCAACTTTCCCGTATTATTTTTCTATTTCTAGCGGCTAACCCATGCGTATGCTTTTTTTCCAAAATGCATATTCTCCCGTCCATCGGATTCACTCGAGCCGCCGCGATTTGGAAAACTTTCTTCAAAATTTGGCGGTACTTTACGTGAAGCCCAAATTTTTCAAAAAATTTCCAAATTTTTCTCAAAAACCGCTTCAAATGTTTTCTTTAAATTTATTGTAAGAATAGACTGAAATACACTTATAAACGTGGCATAGGTCTGATTTCCTCCTTTAACTCTAAATGTTCGAAAATTGTAAATTTGTTCGCGTCTTCCTGAAACTAGAAAATTGAAGATGGAGGTTTTCCCTTGAAATAAAATTTGTTCTCAATAGTTGGTTCTTTTATGAAAGTCATGCACATTTTTTTGAAAATTTTGGAAGGTTTTGAGCAATATTGCATGCAATATATGCAATTTTAAAATATTACAAAAACATTTTCTCATAAACGGCTCTAATTTTTTTCTTTAAACTTTTGGTTGAGATAGTACTTAATACCTCTACTAGATGACATAAACTCCAACTCCGCTCTATTCTTTTGGTTTTTAATTACAAAAATTTAATGTTTTGAGTTGTCTCTCACGTCGTTAATATTTCCATTACCGCCAATCTGTTTACATTAATGAATTTATGAGTACATTTGATTTAAATAATTTCATATAAAAGTTCCCGAAAACTCAATAGTTTTCTGTGAAAATTAGCTCAAAATTCCGCATCTTCAGAAACGCTCTAACGTCATTTTCTCAAAAACGGATCCACATATTTTCTTCAAGACCTTTTAAAAATGGCTCCAAATTTTTCAAAGACAATTGCTGTTTAGAACGAGGTTCTTTAATATTCTGAAAATAATCTTTCCGTTCTATTATTAGGAAACCGAAAAATTGAAAAAATGTAAAAACTATGCTTTGGGCGGCAGCTGGCAAGAGTATGTATCAAGTTCAAATAGCTAGTCGAGACCAAAGGAGATTGAAAACGAATACAAGAAAGTCAGTGCCATTCTGTATCACTACTAGTTTTTTGCCTAGTTTTCAGATCATGCACGCGCTTCGACCATGCTCTCCAGGAGACATATTTATGGCGTTATTCATATTGCGAACAAGAATCACTGCTACAATTATGCGCTGTTAACAGTCACTCTCTTATGAATACGAAGTATAGATTTGGTGAATGTACTTACATCGAATTACTATTATGGTACATCGATTTTTCGCAAACTATCTTTCCTTTCGGCTCTTGGTTTGTTACGAGGACTCACTTTCTTTTCATTTATATTGATTTCATGTTCGTGTTCTCATAAGACTAATGTAAACCGTTGTGGCCAAAGAACTAATGAGTAATAAGTCGAAAAGTCCTTAATGTGTGCGAATAGAAAATAGAATTAATGGAAGTCTGTAGTTCGTTAATATTTACTTATATTGTTAAAATTATAAACAGGCGTTAATATTATTTACGAAATAATCTTCATAAGATGAAACTATGTATATTGCACGTCTGTTCTCGATTGTTAAAATTCTTACGTACAATAATTTTCGCATAAATTCGACTATTTATCCTAAGAAAGGGAACAGTATAATAGTGCGTATTTCGATATGAATGAAAAACTGTTTTCTCGTCCCAAGGCCCTGACCGGGGGGTGCTGTGGTTCGAGTCCCGACAGTGACAGGATTTTCAACACTAAGTACATAGATATACCGAATTCAGCCACTGCCTGGAGGAGAATTTCAGCGCTCTGGCTTCTCTGGCCGGTAGGAATCCGTTTTTTCTCCGATAAACACCTGCCGACTGCCGGAGCAGCACCATAACGAACGCGCTACAGACGCGCGTGATGCCTTCCTCGTTCTGTCCTCACACCTTACATACACTAACAGGCACTACACTCCGAAACAGGTAGACCGGTAGGGGACGTCGAGCTTATCCCGGCTGACGCGGCGCCTCGCTGATGGGAGATACCCGGACGGGGACCTCCGCCCCCGCAAACCGACGTGTGGGTCGGCGCCGAATTTTACAATCCATTTTCAACTCCGTCATCTCTAGTAATACACTTAGGGGACTAATGGTCGTAGCAGTTGACGCGCCTGGCCACACGAAATAATGAATGGATTGTCGCAAGGCGTCGCCCGGCAACCTGGCGGCGGCGGGGGCGGCGTCGGGGGCGCAAGCGAAAGGGGTCCAAGACGACAGCGAGGACGCGCTGGCCAAGCACAAGCAGCGCTACACCTGCCCCCTGTGCCAGCGCAGCTTCCTCTGGCTGGGCCACCTCAAGCGCCACCTGCGGACACACGAGGGCAAGAAGTTCTTCAAGTGCAGAGAGTGCCACTTCACCACGACGCGGAAGTGCACGCTGGCCAAGCACTCCGTCACGCACATGAAGCAGGCGCCCTTCAAGTGCCCCGACTGCCCCGAGGAGTTCGCGACCAAGGCGGCGTTGCTCAGGCACATCAACGCGGCCCACTGCGACCCCAAGCAGCAGCAGCAGCAGCAGAAGAAGAAAAAGAAGAAGCACAGCATTGCTGGGAAGACTCTGTATCAGTGCCCGGAGTGCGCTTACGCGTCCAGGCAGCGCAAAGACTTCATGAAACATTTGCTCACGCACATGCAGAAAAAGCGCTATGGCCGGCGGTGCTGTGTCGTGAAGTTTCCGGAGAGAAAAGACGACTTACAAGCAAATTCAAGGGTGCACTCTTTGAAAAAGGATCTGTCGTTGATGAAACCACCCTCAATACCTAAAGTTCTCTAAATGTATTCGAAGTAACTGGCGTCCAGTCTACGATTAAAAGAGTGCACTTTGTCCAGAAAAAGGATCTATCGTTTTTGAAACCACACTCAATACCCAAAGTTCCCTCAATGTCAACGGATGATCTGGCATTCAAGCTCACGCCGTCTCCAAACTATCACGAAAATGTGAATGATGACGAGGATCAACCTAACCCACAATGTCCCCTCCATCATTTTGTTTTGCTATCTAGATGTACTCCATAAAAATATAAGATCTGTAGAATTGTAAGGAGGTACAAATATATTATCCAGCTTGAAAATAGTAGTTGTTTCAATCTATGAATAAATGTTATGTAGCGGTTTTGCTCATCATCTTACTAGCATTTCAACAGGACAAAATCAATGTCGGCTGGGAGTTGCAGCTCCATTGAATGTCGGAAATGTAATTTCCAAAATTCAAAACCGTACACATAATAAGACGTAAACATCTAATGTAAATGCATGAAATGTAAGTTTAATAAAAGTCTGTATTCAAACATTACTTAAATAATTTTATGCGTAGAGTGCACGTGGTTCAGACGTTGATTTCCAAAGATCATATGAGTTTTTGTGTTATCGTAGAGTATGAATCAACTGCTTCCATTACACCACATACTTTCTCGCATTATTCCAACAGCTCCATTACGATAATGTACGAAATAGTATGGAAGATAATAGTGGACACTCGACGAATATTTTGTTGACAGAAATAGCTTTCTTCAGCGGTTCTAGGTATAAACTACAGTGCTCAGCTAGTTTTGAGAGTACGAGCATTGGCAGAATCTTATTAAAAAGCAAGTACGAGCGTGAAGGTGGTTTTTTCATATTTGCCGAATGGAAGAATTTTTGCACCAAATTACACGAAAACTACTCATCTTTTCAAAAAATGTATTACATTGAAAACTTATTTAAAGATCCATGTTTATGGAACAAATCTGATAAGGAACAAATCTTATTCTTTAATTTTATTGTTGTAAATAGAGGTATATAGAGATATTTATTATTGTTTATAGAGGCTCAAAAAATTTGAATTTTTCCAATTTTCAAAAAATTGAGTTTGAACACTCATTAGATGTACACCTTTCTCTTACGCGTCCTTTACACTATCCAAAGACAAATGTTGATAACAAATTTGGAGCAATTTTTAAGAAAATTTTGAAAATGTTTTGGAGGCTTCATGTAAAGTTTATTCAAAATATACGTTTTTAAAATATACGTTTGAAACTCCCAAAACCTCGAGTACATTGAGATGAACTGGGGAATATCAACTTAGAAGAAAATCGGCTGAACGGTTTAGGCGCTGGCGTTCACAGACAGACGGTTTGCCGTCAGTCGATTTTTTTATATCAAAGACCCTCAACTCATGGATTCTGGCTCCGCGCCGAGGCTCAGAAAGAGTCTAGCTTTTCGGACTTGCCATAAATAGTCTTTCCAGTTGCCATCCTTTACAGCCCAAAGTACACTTTCTATAAATTCCCACTTTTTCGTCTTCCTAATAGTGAAAGTCGTAGGTTAGGCTCTGCCGTGAACGTCTTCTTTGTGTTTGTAAGAACCGTTCGTTAGAGTGAAACATCTCATCCGTACACGAGCGTGAACTCAGTGTTCAACTCCGCGAAAGAAGACATCAGTGTTTTCGAGTAATGGATCTGACGTGTGTTTTGTGTGAATAAAAATATAACCTTAAAAGTGAACTTCCACAAACTGCTGTGCAATTACACATTTAAATTGCAAGTACTAGCAATGTATTAGTATTTGTCGCGTTAACGTTTGAAAGTATCAAAAACAAAATAGTGGAAGGATTTTAATAAAATGAACAATATTAGCTAAGAGATATAATGAGTAATTATATATTAAAACGTAATTACTAATATTACTCAATTAGTAGTTCATCCTTACCTGACAAATACTTCCTCTAGTGGTCTTATTTCGATTAATATAAATGTATTGATATGTTATATGGAGACTTATAGTAGTCCTCATAAAAAGGTCGTTTAATAAAAAGGTTTTTATGGTAACATTTCTATTCACAACTGTGGCTCCAACCATGTAGTAAATACATTGATTTAAATAATTAGAACTCAGAAAATCAACTTCAACTCTTTTTTTAGGCGTGTATTTGAATATAATAAGGCGAAATAATAGCAAATGATCACAATGTAGATAGTATCGAAATCATGGAGCTATGAGCTTAGCTCCATGGTTGAAATGTTGACGGAATCTCCGGAAGTAATTTTTTTGCAAACATAAATTAATAATAATTCACTATTTGCATTTTTACAATATCTGGTAGTTCTGGTAATGTTGGCAACAACAATTGCTTACACAAGAACTGAAAATACCCTATGTAACTTTTCATTTCATATGTCCATGCGGCAGTAACATTTTTCATAACTTGCATTTTAGCCCGTACTTTAAGGGACGAGAACAATAGCTCCGTTCGGGTGAGCAGTGAAATTCTTCGCATACAAAAATACGTGATCGGTCACAATATATCCACTTGGATGTATACTTTTGTTTTTTCAAAAAATAAAGAAATGTAATGTTTTTTAAATATCTTTCACTCCGATAGTATTCACATTACGAGCAATTTATACACATTACAACATTTGCTAGTGCAATTGCTTGAAATAATTTCGTATGACGTTATTCGAAAGCTTTTGAGGTTGTGTTTGGGTGAGTGTTAGCTTTAACTTGGGGACTTTCAGAAACGCTCAACTGACATTTTCTTTAAAAATACTCCACAATTTTCAACGAAAATTACCATATAGGACGAGCTTCTATTCTTCTATAATATTCTTAAAATCAGGTTTCAGTTATATAAAGAGACCGAAAATTGAGAAAATGCGAAGAAATGTACTTTGGGCGGCGATAGGTGGGAGCGCGACAGAGGGTGGAGCAAAAACGCAAAGTTAACCCAGAGCAAAGACATTAGAAAACTTAATTGTACTGTCAAAACTAAGTTCAAAGACTGTGCCATTCTATAGCACCACTAGTTACTTTTTGTATATGTATTAATGTGAGGAGTAACATACGCAGTTTGGAGGAAGTTATGTAATGCTGCGGAAAATCAAATTCAAGATTTCAACTGAATCGATTTTCGTCGGTCCGTCTGTCTGTCTCTCTGTCTGTTCGTCCGTCCCAACTAATCATATGATTATTTCCAAAATGGATGTCCGCCGATTCATGGGGCTCCACTCGAGGCTTTGCGATTTTGAAAAACATTGTTTTCATTTTGAGGTTTGGACAGTTTCAAAATTTTCTCAAACATGATTGAAAAATTTTTTCTTTAAATTTTTTTGCAAGAATAAAGCAAAATACACTTATAATGACGCTAAATATCCAATTTTCAAGGTTCTTTTTGATTTTTTTAAAAATTTAAAAGTTTGAAATTTTACAATAATACACAAATGTAATTCTTTTGACTTGTATCTCACATCGTTAATATTTACTTTAGAGGCGATTTGTTCCCTTTATTGCATTTAGGAGTACATGTGCTTTAAATAATATCTTATTACGTTTCTCGATAACTCAAAATTTTTGAGTGAGAATGAGATCAAAATTCAACATTTGCAGAAATGTTGAAATTCCATTTTGTGAAAAATGGCTCCAATTTTTTCTTCAAACTTTTGTACGTTAGTCCTTAAATGCAATGTATAAGATGGCACAAAATATTGCTGTATACTTTTGTTTGTTTTAAAAAAATATTTTAATTAAAAACGCATTTTTTTAAATCTCTCACGCAGCTAATATATACATGTCCAGCGATTTGTATACGTTATTGTATTTGTAATTATAAGTGGTTCAAGTGACTTCCATTGAAGTTCCTTGAAAACACCAAAGTTTTCAATGAAAAAGAGCTTGATATTTTGCATTTTCAGTGACACTTAAAGGATATTTTCTTAAAAAACAACTCCAATTTTTTCAACGAAAATTTTATTTATTTTTTATTTAATAGGTAATTATTACAGACAAAATTAGTTAACTTGATCCTATGTGGCTAGGCCGAAGGCCTTTAAGCCATTACAATACCTACATCCTTTCGCGTTCTAATCTTTCGAATTCTGGTATTCACCCCAAATGGTCTCTCCATCGCATCAAAGCCGCGGAAAAGAGACTATAAGGTACGGCTCAGGAAAAAACCCCTGAAGGGGGAAAAACCTGCCGTCAGAAGCCGAGTACATTCTAATCTATCCGACGTTTATTTTAGCTATTTTATTTTCTGGCGTGGGCGTCCCGCCGTCTCCTTCCAGTGCTTGGCCTCCTCAGCACCTGAAATCAAACAGCGCCACAGAAGATCGTCCGCACCAACGCCTCTGCCCTTATATTTTTTTTTTCGATCCCCCCTTACCTCCCCCCCTAATGTGATTATTACTATTACAGTTTTATTTTATTTATTATATTAACATTTTACTTACCAATTAACTATGACTTATGACTTATTTCTTAACTGTTTACTTACTTAACATAAAATTACTGATTAACTTACATATTGTTAGCTTATTGACTTATTTATTTCTCTCCAGTCTAGGCTCCGCTCAAGCTAACCGGTGCTGTTTTCCCACTCCCACGAAAATTTTCATTTATAATGATGTTTTACTCTTCTGTTATATTCCTAAGCAATATTTCGAATCTATCATTAGAAAACCAGAGAATTGAGAAAATATATACGTGACGATAATGGTATCTGGCAAGAGGATGGGGCAAGACCGAAAAGAAATTAGAAAACTAACTAGTATGAGAAAGTCTCTGCCAGCACCAATAGTTTAACTTTAATATTTGATTATTTTTTACTGTTAAATTAATTTCATACATTGAAATTTGACCAGTTGAACAAACAAAATGTTTTAAAATATTTTCTATTCCACTGAAATCACGAAATGTTCACAATCACAGAGTACGTGATGAGAAGACATTGCTGTTACGAGCCACTCAAAGAACGGATACAGTACTGCATATCTACACTGCGAGAAATCTAGTTTAGAA